ACTTATATGTCTTATAATAAACCGTTATAACGTTGGAATCTCTGTTTAATTTCTTCGATAAAGAGTGGATCCTTTAAGAGTATGCAGAAAGCAAAAGAAATAACATCACCGGAACAAAATCCCACTCGACGCAAGCAATATTAGCGTTATGACTATCTATTGTCATCCGTTAAGCTAAGATGCAATACCAAACTTGGAATCACCCGAAAATTGTTCACCGCCTCCTTTCGTCCAGTGGCGCCACAAATTCTATACAAGTTAAAACCAACTAAAGATTTAATCGGTTACTACAAATGGTCGTATAAATAAATGGTAGTACCTACTTATAAAATTTTTCTCGCCGCCCAATACCGGTTAATGGCACCCCAAATCCAAATACAAAAATTCCTCTAATAAGCTAACTTTTAGCCGCCCTATACCAGTTGGGGGCCCCGAATTGTTTACAAGTATCTTTAATCGGCTTCTGTACAAGGTAGGTGCCTTATACCGGTCAGTGGCGCCCTAAATTTGAAGTCTATCGAGCGTCCTCGAAAACGATCAAACGTCCTCGATCAGTTTCAAGAGTTACATAAATCTATCGAGAGTCCTCGATCACTTTCGAGCGTCCTCGAAAACAATCGAGAGCCCTCGAAATCTAACGAGAGTCCTCGATCACTTTCGAGCGTCCTCGAAAACAATCGAGAGCCCTCGAAAACAATCGAGCGTCCTCGAAATCTATCGAGCGTCCTCGAAAACAATCGAGGGTCCTCGAAATCTATCGAGAGTCCTCGAAAACAATCGAGAGTCATCGATCAATTTCGAGCGTCCTCGAAAACAATCGAGCGTCCTCGAAAACAATCGAGGGTCCTCGAAATCTATCGAGAGTCCTCGATCACTTTCGAGCGTCCTCGATCACTTTCGAGCGTCCTCGAAAACAATCGAGCGTCCTCGAAATCTATCGAGCGTCCTCGAAAACAATCGAGCGTCCTCGAAAACTATCGAGAGTCCTCGATCAATTTCGAGCGTCCTCGAAAACTATCGAGAGTCCTCGATCCCTTTCGAGCGTCCTCGAAAACAATCGAGAGTCCTTGATCAATTTCGAGCGTCCTCGAAAACAATCGAGCGTCCTCGAAATCTATCGAGAGTCCTCGATCCCTTTCGAGCGTCCTCGAAATCTATCGAGCGTCCTCGAAAACAATCGAGCGTCCTCGAAATCTATCGAGAGTCCTCGATCCCTTTCGAGCGTCCTCGAAATCTATCGAGCGTCCTCGAAAACAATCGAGCGTCCTCGAAAACTGTCGAGTGTCCTCGATCAATTTCGAGCGTCCTCGAAAACAATCGAGCGTCCTCGAAATCTATCGAGAGTCCTCGATCCCTTTCGAGCGTCCTGGAAAACAATCGAGGGTCCTCGAAAACAATTGAGGGTCCTCGAAAACAATCGAGGGTCCTCGAAATCTATCGAGAGTCCTCGATCACTTTCGAGCGTCCTTGAAAACTACCGAGCCTCCTCGAAAACTATCAAGCGTCCTCGATCACTTTCGAGAGTTATTCGAAATCTATCGAGTATCCACTATCATTTTCGACAGACAGGAAACACTTTGGGAGTAGTATCGCGTCGCGTTGTCGGGATCTTCGAACTGCGCGATCGCGAGTCTGCGGACGGCAATCAAGGATAGCTCACCTAAGCGTACGGCGCGTCGCGTAAAATGGGGGCCCCAAAGAGCCATCAGACCACCATAGACAGGGCCCACCAGAATTGTTGCATTGCTGGAACCGGGTAGGTTGTCATGAGGACCTGGGTTTGAGCAAGTGGAAAGAATGGGGTGGTTTTTAGTTAGTAAGAGATGTAAGTCACTTCCTCAAGAGTCATTTGATGACTTTTTACCCACCAAACAAAAAAGGGGGGCGGCATAATCAGTCTTTGCACGCAGGGGCTCGAATACCTACCGGCGGGCCTGCATAATAAGTAGTACCTAGTTACGCCACTTCATCTCAGAGAATACCTAAAGTACTAAAAAAAAAATCAATAACTAACAGACGCGGTAATCGAACCCAAGACCATTCGCTCATCAAACGCACTTGCAACAACTAGGCTATCCTGTAAGATGTCAATTTGAAGTCTCGAAGTGATCTCGTTCGCATTCTCGCACGTGGTCATGATTTGTCACAACCAATGATATGGGGTCCGCGATCAAGCTCACTCCGAGAGGTCGAATTAACATCTCACAGAATAGGCTAGGAGCAGTGGCGTAACTACGTAGCGGCAAGTCGGCAAAAAGCCACGGGCCCCCAGCCGAAAGGGGCCTCCGTCCAGAGTTGTACCTGAACTTTTCGGTTTTAGGTCTTTGCCATCTGATGAATTTGTCACGGGCCTCGTATAGTTGCGCCACTGACTAGGAGTTCACTCCTCAATTTCACAGTGCGAGGCAGTTTTTTTCCAAAAAAGCGCAGTTCTATTGTGTAAACTGCCAAGCATCTAAATCGCTTGAAGATTAAAACGTAGATTGTCGCTGCAGCGCTGTTTTGGCAACGTGACAACAATGTGGTCTGGTTCGCAGTTGTAGGACAAGGGATGATAAAGCCATTGGCTTGATTTAATGGGATGTCGACGGTGGATATAGCTTATGGTAGAAAAGAGAAGCTAAATTCACTAAATCGTAATTTCTGAAAAAATAAACCATAACATCACGTCTTTTATCCCCGAAGGGGTAAGCAGAGGTGCACATTATGCCATTGTACAATGTAACACCCACTTTTCACTATTTATTTTATGAGTCCCATGTAATAGGGGGTGAGCCTATTGCCATATACCGGGCACAATTCCAGACTCAGTGCTATTACTGAGAATTTTTTTTAAACCCTATAATACTTTGCCCGACCCGAGAATCGAACCCGAGACCCCTTGCCCGGCAGTCGCCCTTGCGACCACTCGGCCAACGAGGCAGTCATAAACTTAAAATGAGGTAAAAAAATATAAGGCACATCGCTGCCTACCCTTTTAGACCAATAGGCGCAATGTTTGTTTGCGTATCCTCTGGTTTAATAACAAGTGTTAGTTAGGCAATGTCGTAAAATTATGTGGGCAATGTAAAACATGAGTAACTTGAACTTAAAAAAACTTTATTGTGTCCAAGAATGGTGCAGTGGACAGTAGATCAACCTACTCATCATCATCATCATATCAGCCACAAGACGTCCGCTGCTAAACCTAGGCCTCCACCAATGACTTCCAGATAGGCCGGTTGGATGGCAGCTCTGGATTTGTTCTATCAAGAGGACCCGGTGCCTCCTTCAAGTGCGAATGGTGGCCACCAGGGAGGTTTTAGTGAGGTATAAATCCCACACTCCCTAGTATTTTTCCCCAAAAAGCTAAGCGCCTTTGGAAGGTTTTCCCTGTCAACAAAAAAAAAAGATAGGCCTGTTGGAAGCCACCTGCATCCAGTGTGGCAGTAGGCAGGGTACATAGCGAACTGATGATCGCTGGGGCAGAAAGGTTCTCGAGTGGAGGTCACGTACCGGTTTGGACGTCCATCCGCAACCTACTCAAACTTGTCTTTATTGATTGGTTTTCGACTTTATCGACGTCAATACAATAAAGTTAAAGATGTAATAGAGAAATTTGGCAGAAACTTTGACCTGCTGGCTATCGTACTTACAAGACAATTTTCACTGCCTCGAGTATCGAACTCCGAGACCCATTGCTCGATAGCCACGTCAAAAACCACTCAATAAACCAGACATGTCTTTAGAAAACTGAAAATTTTAGTTAAAAAAGGAAAAATAAATCACAAACGAATTTACTATACTGACATTATCATTTATTTATATCACATTCATTAGAAAAACGTACATCACATATTTAAGTAATTATTACATTCATAAAACCACATACACAAAGATATAAATTAGTTTGACTCAAAAATAATAAATAATCTTACGTCCTAATATTTCACATTATTACTAATTAAACAGCCATATTTTTGGGGCTTAGCCCTTTGGTAAACAACCAGATTTTTTAACTCGAGCCCTATTTGTTAAAAGTTGAACCTTTAAACACTAAACTAAGATTTAACAAAAAAAAATATCGGATTAAAGCCATATAATTATTAATAATCTGTAATCGTATCTCTAAATGGTATAACAGGTACAAACTAACATTAAAAAATAATTTTACATCATAAAAATAACAATGAAACTATTACAATTATGGCATTCCTTAGCAATATCTTACGAAGAACTAAATATCTTTGGTATAAAAAATATGAAAGCAAAATCAATTTCCACATATTGAGCCGTTACCGAGGACTAGACCAGTGACAGACATTAGTAATAATAGGCATAAGCCGGTAAACGAGCAGACGGATCACCTGATGGTAAGGAATCGGCGTCGCCCATGGACACCTGGAACACCAGAGGCGTTACAAGTCCGTTACCGGCCTTTTGGGATTGAGGAACTTGAGGATTGTTGAGGATTTAGGGATTGCATAAATAGGGGGAAGGGGGGAGTTGACTCGGTAACAGTTTCCTTGACTTGGAAATTATATTTATACAAATCTTATGTTCAGTCAATGTGGTTATATTTTGTGATTTTCAAGATCCGTCGGCAGATTTAAAAACTAGGGATGAACTTTTGTCACATTGTGTACTTTTGTCGAATATCTGACAAAGGCATGCTTCACATTAGGTTGCTGTAACTAACTCATAACTGCCTGTGAGTTTAATTGAGGCATAATATGAGATTATCTATTTCAAAACAACTTAACCATGAGATTGTAAAACAGGACCTTAATTATAGATACCTTCAACTCGTTTTATAACGTTTGATTCTGAGTTAATTTAAGAAAACAATTTAAACAATGTAGTTAACTTAGAACATCAGTTGCAACGTTAGTTAAAAAATCTACGCCTTATTGTAACCAAAATAACCATAAAGCTACCGAAACAAACAATTGGGCTAAAATTGTAATAGCTTTATTGTACTCTTATGAATAGTCCTGGAATATTAAAGTTTGGTTTCATGTAACGGTAGGAGCTTTTGGCAAGCCCATATGCATTCTGTCCTGCACTCGCATAAGTCGCTGAATCAGGAACAGCTTTTTGGATGAGAGAGGTGGCTTATTTTCTTTATCCTGAAAAACATAGAATATTTAAGTTAGATCTCGCATTTTTCTACAACTAAAACGGGAGACACCGGTAATCACCGAGCAATTTAACACGGGTTTTTTCATGGGTTCAGCCGGTAAACGAGCAGACGTATCACTTTGATGGTAAGCAATCGGCGCCGCCCATGGTCACCTGTAACACTAGAGGCGTTACCGGCTTTTTGGGGATTACAATTTGAAGATTCTTGGGGATTCAGGGATTGGGGAGATTGGGGAAGGGCGGGGAGGAGAGTAATTGGGCCTTTTTTTTTTTTTTTTTTCTCCCGGGGAAGATGCCGTGCATACCCGGCCTCGCGGGGCCGAGGCCGGGTTATGTGGGGCTCGAACCCACTAAAAACCCCGAGGTGTGCCACTCACGCATGAGGGCGGGCCACAAGAACTGTTCTTTCGCACTTCGTTCGCGACCCGCCCTAGAGTAATTGGGCCTCCAGCAACCTCACTTATACGACGAAAAAAAACAATGCAAGTGTTGTTCCACGTCAGTTTTCTGTGAGGTCATGGTATCACTCGGTTCGACCCGGCCTATTCGTGCATAGCATGGCTATTTTCAAAAATTCTTGTAACAGTGCGGTTTCAGGGTTTGCCTACCTCGACATCATATTGGACTGACAACGGATGCAAAAGTATAGTAAAGTAATACTAGCTTCGGTCAGCGACTTCGTATGCACAACTAGGTGATACCGATTTTTCCTGATTTTGAAGAATTTAGAGAAATCCTCTCTTAGTGCCCCCCTACATTCCCTAAGGAACATAATTACATGCTAAGTTTCAGTTTCTAAGGTCCATTTCAGCTGGGATTTGTCTGTCAGTCTGTCTGTCAATCAGTCAGTCTGTCAGTCTGTCTGTCAGTCTGTCAGTCAGTCAGTCAGTCAATCAGTCAGTCAGTCCGTCAATAACTCAGTAATGGAAAAGTTTTATATATACAAACTAGCTGACCCGGCAAACTTCGTACCGCCTAAAAGTTTTTTCTCATCTTTTAAACCTTCCCTAGACTTCCACGAACCTATCAAGACCAAAATTAGCCAAATCAGTACACCCGTTCTCGAGTCTTAGCGAGACTAACGAACAGAAATTCATTTTTATTTATATAGATGTACGAATGTACCTCGACCTACCCCTTTGGGAATAAATGGCATGATGTCATTTTATGCAAATAATATCGAGTACCTACATTGATAGAATAAAAATTAAATTATGGATTACCTAAGAACTTTTGGAAAGAAAAAAGTATGACTTGATTCGTTATTGGTGGTGTTCTAACACAACAGTAACTGTATTAATAAATTGAATTAAACAATGTATTTGTGACCTTGTAAAAACATTATTTGAAAAGAGTAACAATTGAATTTCTTGCTCATTGTTCTCCATTCGAAACTACAGTTTGTAGCAAGCATCTACCTACATCGACAATTCTAGTTAACGTTTCAAAAGCGCCTAATTAAAGATCCATTGAAATAAATTATTTCACTTTGAAACAAATTAATATACTAACTAGGGTAGTTTCCTAAATTTGATTTTAATGTCCGTCTGGTATATTAATTTTAAACATTGGTAGTTTTTCTTTTCTCATAACATTAAACTTAATTAACTTTCTACAATATATTAAACTGTCAAACACCAAGCGGTCACCGGTGACCGCAACCTATTGTTCTATAATTGTGTCTATAATGACGGTACTCGACAAGTTAATTTGAAATATCATATGACGTATGACCTCTCACTCCTAAACTTAATGCCATTTTATCTAAGTATTGTAACTTTATACGAGAAAAAAAAATTTTTTTCTTTATCTAAATGACGAAGTAGGTAATTGATTTTTTTTAGGGTAGCCTATTGTTATTTGAGAATGCAACCCTTGCCGGGAAGAACCTCATGTACAACAATTATTGCACTTTCAACTACAACTACATAAACTTTATGACCTAAAAAAATAAAATCATCATTGTACCCACATTTTTAAGAAAATATCAAGTACTCACCTCAGGGAAGAAGTCAATTTCCATAATAATAACGTCAAAGTATGTAGCAACTATAATCACAGGGCCCCACTTCCTCTCACATACTTCCAACTGCACGGCAAACCTTCCTTCAGGCAAGTCTGTCAACTTCTCAAAATTTGGTTTAGCATCCGCTTGTTGACTAGACAGTCTGTACAATAAAATCTCACCAGCCCTTGTACCAATCAAAATGAAGTCTCCATAGAAGAACAAGGCCGTAATTGGTGGAAACTCTAAATATAAATGCTGATACTTTTCAGTCTCAATTTTAAATATGTTTCTAGAATAACAAACATAATTCCGGTCATCAATTGCTTGCATATGCCTTATCTGTCTCATCCATTCCGGTGGGATGTTTATAGCTTTGGTTGTAACAGTACCGTTTTTCTCAATGCTAACAATTTTTCCACAAGTAGTGAAAAGATACACATTACCCATAAAACTCTGAATTTGTTTGATTTCATAATCACAATGTAGCATCAATTTTGACTCCAAATTCTTTGCTTTCAAATCACAGACAAAAACTTCTCTTTCTTTGAAGAAATAAATTTGTGTTTCAGTTAATACGAAACTTTGTGCATTCGTGAAATACGCTGCTGACATGTGTGTTAAGCATTCGACTGTTCTCTGCAGCAATACTCCGGATTTAAGAAGTAATGCAGTATTGTAATCATTGTGGGACACTTTCATGGAATCCTTATCAGGCAAGGTTGCTGGTAAATTACAGTAACTTTGCATGTCATAGAACACAAGACCATTTTTTTGTTTGAGTGGTAAAATCCCATAATCAATGGGCACCAAATGGTGTTTGTCATGAATCGCAAATTTATAGAAATCGCGTATTCTTATATCGAAAGACGTGACTACTTCCCATGTCGTGATATTTCTATACAGGTGGTACCATTCGCAGTCCTCGCCGGACTTTTTCCTAGCTATAAACGATGAGTATTTGTATTCCGTGAGGCACATTTTGCGCCAAATACAATCAATGTTATCAATGATTTCTCTCCATCTTTTGCACACTCTACGGCATTTTCCGAGTGAGATACCATCTATGTTTATTAATATTATCAATAAAAGTTCCAAAGGTAATTGATAGATAAACATTTTGAATGAATACCGCTTAAAGTACTAAAAAAATATGCGTATTTGAAGGTAGTTACTTCTTTGTTCACATAATCCTCAGCCGTACCTGGAAAATATTTAAAACACAGATAAATTTTACAGGCTCATTATTTTTGTTAAGTTATTTGTACGAATCTTTTAGTTTTTATTAATTTTACAGTAATTTACCGTGTTTACATATTTATCTCGTTATCATTTCACTGTCACTGGTCACTGTCACTGATAAACTCGTGATTTTGACAGTTATTTTGTTATTGTTGGCTCACTTGTCTGGTTTCGACGTTCAGAAATGTATTTTTGATAATGAAATGAAACGATACTAGAGAAAAATGATTGTAGGTTGTAAATGTTTATTATAAAAAACTATTATTATCTATCATACTTACTGATTGTAAAATTCTTACTTAAGTATAAAATTAATTCGGTCTTTTTTTTCAGTATGACCTAGGATGACAATACATTATTAACATAGTTATCAGAGCTACCAACTGATAAATACCTACTATTTTTTTTAATATCGCGGGTATTTCGTACTAATGTACTTAGTTGTCGCAGAGAACCTAACGGGTAACCGGGGCTCCGACTCGACGTGCAGGAGAAGGAACGGGGTGGTTTTTAGTCAGTAAGAGTCTGACACTCCCTCCCGCCTCACCCAGGCGGGAGCAGTCATTCGATGATTTTACCCCCTTAAAAAAAAAATGTACTTAGTTTTTTTAGAACCGGCTTTATAAGTAAATAAATCAATCAAATAGTCAGACAATTAACTAGGAAATATGGTGGTGACTTGGAAAGTTTTTTGGAAGTTTTGAAAACCGCTCGCGCCACCATCATGGAAACATGGTGTCCAATCAAAAACAGTTTTTTGCAATATCTCTGTCTCTGTCTGTGTATTTACGTTAACTATAAAATTAAACTACTCACAAATTTCTACAATTTATGTCTCGAGCTTTTTAAGTAAGTACTTAGTTTTTGCACCAGGGCACTGCAAAGTTACATTTCTAAGCATTTTGGTTTTTTACATAGTAAAAAAAATAATTTCCATACCTCTTGAAAGTAGAGAAAGCGGCGCGTTTTTTATAGTAGTCTTCTATAGGTCATAGGATTGTGGTACATACTTACTTTAACCTTAGGAACTTAGAACCGCACATAGGATTTTGATCTTGAGCATCCATCGATACCTATATCACAGTAGTTATTTTTGAACCAAAATGTAATGAATGCTTCGTTCGCCGAGTGTGCGACCACTCGGCCAGTGCGACTGCCGGGCAAGGAGTCTCGGGTTCGATTCCCGGGTCGGGCAAACTAATACTGGGTTTTTAAAAAAATCTCAGTATTGGCACGGAGTCTGGAATTGTGCCCGATATATGGCAATAGGCTCATCCCCTATTACATGGGACTCATAACATAAATAGTGAAAAGTGGGGTTACATTGTACAGTGGCATAATATGCACCTCTACCTACCCTTTCGGGGATAAAAAGCGTGATGTTATGTGTGTGATGCAGAAGAAAGTCTGCAGAAGTCCATCGCAAATAAACCGGGAAAAATTTTGATCTTCGACGTCTCCATCAGTACCATCGACTTATTAGGTCCCTTATCTAAAATTAAACAATGTGTTGCCCTTAGGACACGTATTAAACCGTCAAACACCGCGAGGACACCGGTGACCGCAACCTATTGTTCTCTAATTGTGTCTATAATGACGGTACTCGACGATTTAAATCCAGAAGTCCCAATTTAATTTCTTCGAAAGTTTTATTGAATGATTTGCTAATAAGGCCATCAAACTCCCATTATTTTCAGAATATCGTATCAAAGATGGCGTCAATGTTTATATTATAAATATCTTGAGACATACCAAATGAGTTATGCGTTTCGCTCCTGCTACAGCTGCAGCGCGACAGCCGCCGCGTCGTGTGTCGCGAAATACTACTCATAAAAATGAGCCTCTTTTTTTTAAGGGGGGAAAATCATTGAATGACTGCTCCCGCCTGGGTGAGGCGGAAGGGAGTGTCGGACTCTTACTGACTAAAAACCACCCCGTTCCTTCTCCTGCACGTCGAGCCGGAGCCCCGGTTACCCGTTAGGTTCTCCGCGACAAATATGAGCGTCTAGCATGACTTAAAACTAGTCGAATTCTTCGTCAAATAATTACGTCACTAAGCCGAAAAACATTTTCTTTAATGGAATAGGGGGCAAACGAGCAGACGGCTCACCTGATGGTAAGTGATCAGCGCTGCCCATGGACACCCGCAACACCAGAGGAGTCACAGATGCATTGCCGGCCTTTTAAAACATGATGATTAATAAAGATATCAATGGTGTTCCTATAAACCGAACACGAAACCGTCGTGTGAATGAGTCGATAGTCGTCCCACTTTCGACAATTCGACCAACGAGGTTAGAGACTTCTTTAGGTAAGCCTAAATTACTTAAAATAAATCACAAAACTTCCCAAAAATGTGAATAATTTATTACCACCAGAATATTTTACATTCATACATAAATACACATTATTATACTATACTACATACATACAATAATTTATTAAAATGCGACATGATTCAATAAATATTACAGAATTATTTAGAAAGATAATGTGGATTATGCATCGGTACTTCTATATTTTTTTATTCTTACAATAATATCCAAAAAATATCATATAATATGCAAGTAATACGCACATAATATCGTCAAGTAACCACTAAAATAATAATTTATTTAAGTAAAATTATGTAAACAAATAAAAAGATTAACAAGAAAATGAATTCCAAAATTGCACATGCACTTAATATAACAATATAACAAAAAGCAACAACAAAATATCAAATAATATTCTTGGTATTAATTTGACAAATAAAAAAGTAGTTGTTATCAAACTGGACTTTCTTTTCGAATTACCTACAAACAAAAATAAACAGAAACAAAAATTAATTTATATCGAGACATTAAAAAGCCTCGGGTCATAATAATTATGATTAATTGTTATTCAACGTGAAATCTATTTCGTTTTCGCCCCGAAGTAAAATGACCTATCTTGGTAATACAATAGTTTTGGAAATAAAATGTTTAAAACTAAAAATAACTGGTGAACCATTGCAAAAAGTAAACTTCAAAAGCGCATACAATGTCAATAGTACATCACGCCATGTAATTCTCGAAGAGGAATTTCTCGTCAGATGGCACGTGCAATGCGAATAGTGCCTACAAATGTATGTCTAGTATTTCATGTGCGTATTTCTGACATTTTTTAAATTAAAAATAATAACATCTTTATTATTTTATTTTTACTTTATACACCGAAAGTACTCCTTATGGTAAGTTAAAAAGTAAAACGAAATAAATTTCACGGTATTGTCCAATAGTAATTATACATTATACACACTAATATAAGGGTAAAAATCAAATGTTTATATAAATTGTCATCTTACATTAAACATTTTTAAGGAGAAATTTTTAAGATATTTTTAAGATATTTATGCCTCATGTTACAATAATAATGGCAAATATCTTAACAAATTATGTTCACATTTTTACAATAACTATCGTCAGACATATACAATTAACGAGTTATTCACGTAAATATACTGAGAAAGGCTCTAGTGAACAGCGTACGCGGATGCAGTGACATCGCCATGATGAAGAGTCCCTCTGTGACCCGAAACTAGTAGAGCTTTTCTCAGTATACTTACGGCAGATAACCGCAATTTTTAATTAAATTGTGTTCCAGTAAAAGTTCGGTAATTCAATCAATTTGTTCTTCAGGTATATTTTACATAAATCGCATAGTTTTATCAAGGTATATACGTAAAATTGTGTTCAAAGAAGCATAAAGCTTAGAAAATCTTGTAGGTAACTAATCTTCCCATAAATATAAAATAAAAAATACTAGATGACTTTGGTATCGATCGATCTACTATAAAAATACTAAAGACTACAAATACTGCAATCAACCCAATTTATAATAATTTAACCAATATAAACCAAACATCAATTGAAATAAATAATAATAGCAATAAAGTAAAAAATAGTAATAAAAATTTGTGATACACAATATTGTGAAGTTTACAGGAATTTTTGGAATATTTCAAATACACAGGAGTTGCTAATAATTTCAAATTTGTTTATTTTTTACATTTTGACCAGGTTACACTAACCGCTTGAATGCCTGTATATGAGACAATAGAAAATACATTGTGTTCGCGTGGATCTGCGTTTATGCCTGGGCCACACCAAACGAGAAATGCCATTACTTATCGCGATAATCCACGTTCACCGTAGGTGTAGCCACGAGTCAACGCGATAATTTGACAACGGCATTCACATTGCCGTTTGGCATGATGGGCATTCACGTTGAAATTTCAAATGTAGCCACCCACTTTATCGCGTTAAAATTATTGTAGTAAACAACGCGATAATCGGCATTGGCGTTGACGTTTGTGTGGCCCCGGCATTAGACACACGACAGGTTGACCATGGCCACAAGAAAACTCAAAATTCCTCTATACGAAACGTTATAACTTTTGGCCTTTGGTAAATCTTTACGAAAATGTAGTATTGCTACAGTATTTACGTCTCTGTCTTTCAAGTACAAACCATAAATGCAAGAAAGGGAGAAGAGATATTGATCCATCAAAATATTCATTTACAAAAGAATACAATCTCACCATTTCATTTTGATCCCAATAACAACCAATGTAACATAATAAGCACAATGGAAATATCAAAATGATTCAAATAACTAACAATAATAATTTCCATTATTAGAATAATTCTTTAGGGCATCGTACATGCACACACTCGCATTGACCGTCACGCCCGCCTGCGAGAGGCAGTATAAATCCTATGGCACAGTAAAAAATCTATGCCGCAGTAAAAAACCTATGCCACATTAGAAAACCTATGGCGCAGTATAAAACCTATGCCGCAGGAGAAAACCTATGGCGCCGTATCAAACTCCGTAGTTGCTTTCGCGTATCGACGCGACCAATGCCACCCTTGACAAAATTTCAAAGCGATATTGGCACAGATAGTGAACGAGTGTGAGTGAGAACATGTGCGACGCCTGTCTTAAACTTTTCCCAATTACAAAAACCACACCGCAACCCAAATTAAATAAATAGTTAACAAACTTAACAAATAATGCATTAGGAATGCTTACAATTAAAGTTAGTCTTTTTTCCTACTAAATATGATTCATTTTACACTAGCACATACGTAGCGCAATAAGTTTAATGTATATTAAACTTTATGTTCTTAAAATAAGGTTTAAAGTTCTATGAACACATAAAATAGCTTCGAGACTTCGGTTGTTTTCAGAGAGCAGTATGCTTAGACAAACTTATCATCATCAAATCAAGACAAATAAGTATTTTGAAGTCGAGTGACGCGCTTCGATTCTTGTGCTAGTATAAAATAATCTAGGCTCAAGGAAAATCTCACTGGCTCTATGATTTTTGGTTGAACCAACAGCTTACATAAAAGTACATAGTAAATGTATTATTAATTCCCCTCGCAAAGGAGTTCATGGAGACAGCTAAAAATTCAAAAATCATTTCAGTCTACAAAGTAGCTTTAAAGCAAGGAAATTAATTCTTGTATAAAATAAATGTCTTTACTGTGACGCAGTTGTTATAATAAACAATCAAAAAGTTTAATCGCGTTTAGCAATTTATGATTAAAGGTCCCGATGTAGTTCGAAACGAGTCGGGGATCAATTATATAAAACAAGTTTAACTTTTATGAATATTAAGGGTTAATGTTTGTCAGTTCAGACATTTATTCTAATACAAAAAATAGGTAATTAGGAATGATTAATATAGGGATTTCAAATTAAATTTGTTTCACTAATTTGACTTAAAAACTACTTCTAATCTTATGAGGTCGAGTAATAATCAAATAAATAAAAATATTATTATAGAAAAATGGTGATCAATCAATTTTCAACCTTATACACTCTGTTTTGAGGTTGAGAATCAATCAATGAATATCGAGCCCTGAAATTACAAAATATCAAATAGAAAAATGACTTAAACATTAAATAATAATTATTATTAATTCAAAAATTGTAATTATAAAAAAACAGGCAATGTAAATTTAATTCTCATATTTAAATAGTGATATGCAATCTTATGATAAATGCAATTTAAAAATTAATTACTATAATAATTGTTAATTCAATTTAAAATGACTGTTAGCTAATACAGTTTTATTTTAAAATCAATAAAATTGTATTTATAACATATATAATTTCAAAAATTCAAGATACATACACGTGTACAATAAAATTCAACTAAAAATTGGAATAGCAATGATCTGTATAAAAAAAAAACATTTTTTATCTATGTTATTGACTCAAAGTCTACTTTGACAGATATGACGTCACAATATGGCGGATAGTTGATCCTATTCTCAGTTGAACTGCACCATACAAGGGATTTCAAGAAATCGATTATTTATTAATAAAAAAAAATTTTTGAAATAATTAAATAACATCAATTATATCCTTAACCTATAATCATGACATGAACCAATTAAAAATAAGCGTTGAATTTCTTGTTCTAAACTAACAGCGATTAAAGAACTTATTCTAAAACGAATAGTGTCTAGATTCGCTTATCACCGGTTTTTGAGCATATTTGAAACGACTAGCATGGTGAAGCTACCTATAATATAAAGAGTTGCCGGAATCGAGGCCAGGAGTTTGTATCTTTCATCTGTAAAAGAAAAAGAAAAGGAAAATATTAGTTTAATATATGACTTTTTCCAAAATATGCACAGAAGTTTAGCTCGTTAAAGACTAATTATTACTTTATTTAAACGATCGTGAGACATGATCCATTAGTATACACTTTGTCACGTAACTGTTCAAGGATGCTCGATAAGTTACAAGCTGCGACCGGGGTTCATACTCCTAAGTCGCACGCCTAACGAACGACGTCGAGTAGGAAACTATTGAAAGAGCTTCGTACAATTACGTGAGCAATCTTTGTTAATAAATCTATTTGTTAGCAAAATCTTCTAATATACTATATCTAAATGGTGTTAATTTACAATGAGAAAGCCCAAAAGGAATGTATGACAAATTAAATAAATGGTAGAAGTGCGAAATTTTGTGATGTTCAAACAAATAATATTTACATTGCAACTCAATAGCATAATATATAAAATATTAAACAATGCTTTGTGAAAAGGTGAGAAGGGATAAAAAAGAAAATAATAATTGTAAATACTTATCGTTTTGAAATCACAAAATTCCGCATAAACTCGGCCGCAACACGGTGTAGTTGGAGCACTTAAACACTTGAAATACTCTTTATGTGTGTGTGTGTGATGTTTGTGTAAAATGAGTAAAAATGCGCAAACCTAATTAATGCGCAAATATATTGCGCAAAATTATATCTGGTTGCGCAAAGTGTTCTGTCAGTACTATTCTTATTTGCGCAATAAGAAGTACATACATAATATGTAGTAGGACTAAAATGTTCGTAACTAAATGAAATGGAAATTTTGTTTTGTATAAATTTATACCATCTATTAATAATGACCCCATAAAGCCTAAGAGTCTCATGTTCTAATACTGAAACGGTACTAAAAGTACTAACTGTAATTTCTTTGTAAAATGACAGAGATGGAACGATATTCAAGTACAACTTTAAATAGTATTATTATGTAATAGAGTAGCCTTTCAGTATAAAGAGTGTCAATCGATTGCCGTGTTTAAATAATAGGTTAAGAAAATATTTCTTAATACCGTTTGGTCATAACTCTGTATACCTAGCTACATTAAGTCATTTAAGCTCATTGTAAGTTAATCATGTTCTTTATGATTGAATAAACAATCATTAAACTTAGGTTAAGACTTTAACCCATTATATTATTTACACCATAACTATGGAAAAAGGTAATCAACATTTTTATCTATAGAATAATCTTTATTTCAGTGACTACATTATTCCTACGCAGGATTCAAGTACATGTGCACTTAACTATTTATAATTCTAAATACCAGATAACTTATTCCTTTCTGTTGCAAAATAGGTGTTTTCATGACGTAGAAAACTATATTGTTTATTGTAAACTGAACGACTCTTAAGTCCTATAATAAAATCATCAATAAAAGATAAAAAATACCAATTTATGTCGTAAAAAACTTAATGACTGCAAATTTTATTATCCAATTACCTTTGTTGTAAACGTGTAAATCCCCTTTTTGTTGCATCATTGCATTTTATCTTTATTATCTACACTTTATTTATTTATGGGGGTATAAAAACAAATTATTTCATGTTTATGCGACCATTATTGAACATCTTGCCAATAATAACTCATGTAATTTAATATTACAATAGAAAAAGCATTATAAATGTAAAATGTTTTTGTATGTTCATATGTCATTTACGTCGCAACAGCTGCACACATTACGATGAAATTTTACCTGATTCGAATTTTGAAGTATTCTTGATAATGTTTAAAATAAGTATGGTTCCTAGGTTCCTACAGGAATTTGGGTGAAACTACTATAATGAATTATATTTTTATTACAGCCAAAATTATTAAAAAATTAACTAAAAAACATAAACCTTTTTAAGTTTAGTATAAGTCATGCGATGGAATTAAGTTGCATGTGCAATGAATATGCAAAAACTACATGCAAAGGAGTAAACCAAAATAAATTAAAGACCCAAGAGGATAAATAAATATTTTTATTCAGATAAACCAGTCTTATTTTAATGTTAGTAACATTTACAATTGACGACACAATATTCTAGCGAAATAAGGAACTAAAATTCTAAAATAATTCATTTGAAAAGGGTCATATTTATAAAAAAAAAATTACATTAATTAATTGAGAAATAAATTATACTGATGTTCAAATACTTGAGTTCAAAAATCCGCTTGCATAGGTTAAAATGGTGTTTAATAATGTAACTTAAAAAATACTTAAAATATAAACTATTCATTCCACATGACGTTCGATTAAAAAAAAATTGACCCAATCCATTGAAATATATTATCTGTGGTTTGTCTATCTATAGACAATATTATTATTTATATACTAAATGTCTTTTATAATACCTTGGGGATCAGAAATACATAAAATTTGGCTTCTAGAGTATCGAAATTTGATTCATTAATTTTAAATTTAAACTATTCTAGTACTTTCATTACTTTAAGTACATAATGCCTAAATATTTGAAACATAATTCGAAAATATCACATTTTTAATAATAACAAGTTTTCTTCAACATCCTAAGACTGATCTACATAACAATAACACTCTATAATATATGAATATATTCGTTGTTGTACGTCATTTTGACTTTGAACCTAATTTTAAATTTGCATTCGATTCGCATATTCAAGAAAATTGGTAATTGAATGTATTTATCCTAAGATAGTATTAGGAACTCTATGGTGGCTATGAGTCCAAGCCAGGCCAAAAAGCCGTTGTTAGCCCCAAAGTAGGTAATAACAATAACTACACATAGTTTTAAGAAACCAATTTACGTTAAAGGACTGGAGATTTTATTATAAATAGTCTTAAATAGAGCCGGGAGCTTTTCGAAGTTAATTTTCTTCGTCAAACTCGCAGCACCCATGCTTAGCGCAGAAGTTAGGAAGACTGGCTCAGCGGTCCTAACCCGCTCAACCATTATAGGGTTATCATCACTATCGAAAATAATTTCCGGATCATTCTCGATAATCTCCTCGACTGATTGCCAGTTAGTTTGCACCTTCTTCTCAGGAGGGCAGCACTCACACATGCCATAATCACACTCCTTTTTGCTCATAAAATACTCCGCGTCATCTAAAATTGTGTGTTCGGTAACACGTTTTTTGACGGGGACGAAAATGGAGAATTTTCGAGCTGAATACTGTAAGAGCTCTTCTACATAAGAATTAACGCCTTCATCGAAGTTTTTATCGGATTTTATGTCTAATAAGTTTATGTTGTGGTTTTCAAAAAGCGAGTTTTTCCTACTGTCCGGTAGAGATGGTACGTCAATGCTTTGTTGAGTCATCATGCTACACTTTCGTTTGGCCTGACCTGTCATGGTGAACGATTTTTTAGTCGTCGCCCAGCCGAGTGATCGCTGTACTGCCATCTTCCATTTTGTGTATCTCGCGTCGCGATCTGGAAGAAAAATTGTTATTATAATAATATAGAAAAAAATTTTTAACCTTAACTAAATGATAAGGAGCTCAATATATTTCCAAAACAGTCATACACGTTTTCTATTTGACTGTAATCTATAATTGGCCATTGGCATTTAATTTAGCTTGTGACAATTATGAAAAATCCACAACATTTGTTCATACAAAAGCAGTCTCTATACTTTGGAAATAAGGTCTATAAAGGAGTCAGCGGAGAGCGGTCCCCGGTGACCGCTTGGGGACTAGGCAATTAGACTGATAAATCTCACGCTTTACGAGACGTTAGAAGTCTTTCAAGTAAATAGACACGAACGCATAGTTAGTTCCTATAAACATAACATAACATCACGCCTATTATCCCCGAAGGGGTAGGCAGAGGTGTACATTACGGCACTTAATGCCACTGTACAATGTAACACCCACTTTTCACTATTTATGTTATGAGTCCCATGTAATAGGGGGTAAGCCTATTGCCATATACCGGGCACAATTCCAGACTCCGTGCTACGATGAAATTTTTTGAAAAAACCGAGTAATACTTTACCCGACCCGGGAATCGAACCCGAGACTCCTTGCCTGGCAGTCGCATTTACGACCACTCGGCCAACGAGGCAGTCAATCCCTATACAATCCCTATAAACTTGCAATAATTACCAAATGACAATGCCAGATCCTGACCCAGTCATAATATCATTTACAAAAAAAGTAAATTGATGAAAATAATTTTGCCGAATAAGGAACCTTTTCACAATATCTCTTTTTATTTTTAAACTTGCGGTTTCCAATCTAATAAAAAAAGAAGTTCAATCCCGGAAATACTTTTTTACAATGCGTCTTCCATATTGTCTAATGACTATTTGCGTTTCATCATACGCATCGCTTGTACGAAACTATGAAAATAAAAAAGTAAGGAACTGTAAAAAAGATATCATTATACATAAAATATTATATCAAAAGTATAATTATGTATAACATTTATTTATTTATTAATTATAACAGATGAAATCACGAAAATATAAAAGAAACGATGACTATCATTACTTATGATTTTTTTTGTGCAACGAAACGTTTTGAAGCGCTTGTCAGTTGTCAGCTGTCAGTGTCAATATTATCTTTCATTCGCTCTCTGCGTTTCCGTAGTTTTCGCATTATTTATCATTATTGTTTTGTGTTTTAAACAAAAACCGCAAGTTTTACAGGTTTCAGGACAAATGTTTAGGTATCGGTAATTAATACACTACACGATGCTGAATATTACATACTTGTACATGACTTCTAATATAGTGGGTCAAAGATGTACTGAGCACCTGGCATTGTCCTTTTGTAAGGTATTTAAAATTTAAAAATCAATTTAAATAAGTTGCAAAATGTTAACTTTGGAGTGCCATTAGTAATGCTGGGTCTCTGAATGACCCTGCGAGCGATAGAGAGCCGCGTATGATACGTACCATCATCAGTAGTAGTGGGCAGGAAGGTGTCGTTGAGCGTGGCGTGCGTCCTCCACTTGTCGGTGCTCCACACGCCCACCGCGCCGCCCGCCACCACGGCCACGCCTAGCGTCGACATGTCCCACGCCTGGGCACGCACTGGACAACATATATCTATTATTAACTATCTCATACATATTTGTCCAAATACTCAAACGCCATTCAATTGGGTACTTGCCAACTAGTCAAATTCAATTCTTTTTTGAACTGTCAAAAACCAACCGTGTTCTATGAAATTTGTACGAGATTGTGTATTGTGACGTCACGTTTTTTTAGCGTCCAACAGCATACTTATTACTTAAAAATATGCTGGACAAATACTAAAATTAAGTTGGTCATAAAATCAATTAATGAAAATGTGATTATTGTTTAATATTTTTGTTGTATTGAACAGTTCAAGTAATTTATTTTGGACTAGGAAAGTACGCAAATTTATGATAGATTTAAGTATAGTTCTATCACTGCGAATTCTTTGTAAAATGACAGAGATGTCACGATATTTAAGTACAAAAATTGAATTGCCTTTCAGTATTTGGTTCATCGAGTCTCTAATTGTAACTAAATTGTACTATTTCAGTCTTTGGTTTATTCATACGAAAAAACAGACTTTCATAACTCTTATCCTTCGAACTGTTTATAGAGATACACACATTAACCTTTTGACCGCAAACAAATTAAATGTACTTAAAAATCATGTTTTCTTGTCGACTGTGACAGATCACGTCATATTATGTTTGTCGTGGCGTTCAAAAGGTTAAATATTATATTTATTTTTATGGAATAGGAGGCAAATGAGCAGACACATCACTTGATGGTAAGCGATCAGCACTGCCCATGGACACCCGCGATACCAGAGGAGTAACAGGTGCCTTGCCGGCCTTTTAAAAAGAAATAAGCTCTTTCCTGTCATATAATGCGTTTACAGCATCCATAATATCAACAATTTTCGAAAATGGAAAATCTCAAAAATTATCCGTCCTTTATATCGGACCTAAAACCCATCGCTTGTCTAAAAACGATCCTAAATTGAATTACAAACTATTTTATTTTACAAAAAGGGCTATAAAATGTGTATATACTTACACACAGGTATACCAATAAGGTCGGCTTGCAGCTGCATGAGGAGGTCATTCGAGGTCATCCTGCCGTCCACGTGGAGCTTGGCCAGGGGCATGCCGCAGTCTTTGTTCATGGCTTCAAGGATATCTCTGGATAATAAATAGATAAGTGTCATGAATATACTTCTAATATTTAATATTACTAGGTGTCTACCGATCAAACACAACTGGTTAAAAATCCGGTGGTTATTGATGTTATGAAAACAGATCAGACAGATTTCAATTTCCAAATTCTATGTTACTTACATAACATAACATCACGCCTTTTACTCCTCGAAGAGGTAGGCAGAGGTGCACATTATGCCACTGTACAATGTAACACCCACTTTTCACTATTTATGTTATGAGTCCCATGTAATTGGGGGTGACCCTATTGCCATATACCGCGCACAATTCCAGACTCCGTGCTACTACTGAGAATTTGTTAAAATCCCAGTTATACTTTGCCCGAGCCGGGAATCGAACCCGAGACCTCTTACCGAGTCGCACTTGCGACCACTCGGCCAATGAGGCAGTCTTACTCTATGTTACGTATAACTGAGAATCGAAGAAATCCAGAAGAGAGGTTTAGAGATCGAGATATAATAGCTATATTTACCTCGTCTTTTTTTTTAAGGGGGGAAAATCATCGAATGACTGCTCCCGCCTGGGTGAGGCGGGAGGGAGTGTCAGACTCTTACTGACTAAAAACCACCCCGTTCCTTCTCCTGCACGTCGAGCCGGAGCCCCGGTTACCCGTTAGGTTCTCCGCGACAATATTTACCTCGTCTGGAAGCACACAGCTTCTAAAGCAGCTCTGATGATGTGATTCTTAGTTGTAAATGCTGTCAAACCGCAAATTATTCTGAAACAAAAATATACAATATGAATACTAAACTTATAAATTATAATAGATACTTAACCTCTTAGAAGCAAAATTACAGACAACCATTTTACATAAAAACTTGTAAAATATTTAACTGCGCAAACTTGCGCAACTGTCAGTCAACTTGCGCAAAATCCTGTACTTTCATAATTCCTATACATATATATAAAATTGTGTGAAAAGAATTGGACAAATAGGCTACAAAAGATCTCTCCCCGGACAAACCGTGCCAAAAGTAATAAATAAATCAAATAAACTTGTAAAAGTTCTATTTTTAAGTGTTAATGTTATATTTATTTAACTAAAGAACTAAATATATATTCTATTTTTTTCAATTTGCGCAAACTTTGCGCAGGTCTCAAAAATTTATGTCTCTAAATTTCATATAGTTATAGAAATGTTAATAACTACATGTAAACAATATATTCAATTAACTCAATAGTTTTGCATGCCGTAAGGCAAAATGTACCGGGACTCTCCATAACTTATATAAAACAACATATTTGTTACCTACATTTTTAGCAAATAAATTATTACTGATTTCTGATTTCATTTTTATCAACTTACCCTCGAGCATCTTTCCTCCAATAAGGCGCATATAATCCACTGAAAGCCGGTACAAAGTACACATCTCCCGTAGAGAATACTTGGCCGGCAATATGTTCTGTATCTTGTACGACGTCCTTGATAAGTCGCAAGTTGTCACGCAAGAACTTCATTGCTCCACCTGCTACGGCTATGGAACCTGATTGACAAAAGAATATGACATTTAATTTGTAAGTCTTGTGCTTAAAACCGGCGGCTTTGTTTAGTAATATAATATAATAATAATAATAAATTTATTCAATATTCAAAAAATGCAAAATACAAAACATATCGTAAATACGTACAATACGGTGTTTGACAACATTCAAAATACTCTACAAAATATAGATATTTTACGAGACAATAGTCTAAAGAATACCACTTCTACTTTATTTTAACAAAATAATGTATATTATTTACATATTTCACAAAATAAAAATGAAGTTTTTTTAAATAATTTCACGTGAATCGAAACGCTCTGTGATTGGTGGTAACACTCGTGACGTCACACGCCAGCGAACAGGTGTTTTGCGCTATTGATTGTCGTTGGAGTTTACTGTGTTTTGGCTGTAATTTCTATTTGTAAACTATTTTCGAAGAATTACTTGTTACTACTTGCTACTACGGACATTGTTTATAACTAGTGTTATTAATATTAGTTTACCATACTAAAAATGGACGCAAATTTTGTGCAAGCCGATAGCAGCAACTTACCCAGGATAGACGCTTTAATGGTTGCACTTTTTTTTAAGAATAACGCTGATTATTATTCATCTGAACTAAAAAATGTGAAAACAGCAGTGTAAGTACCAAAGTGGAATCTATTTACATATTATTTACCCTTGTAAACTTATATGTTATATGTTGTAGAAAAAAATTCACGCGGCATATTTTAATCATTTGTTTTCATATATAATAAATGCTATTGTTGCATTATAATACCTTTATGTCGTTATATAATATTATTCCCGTATTAATTGATTTTAATAAGCCTTAATTTTTAGGTTAGGAACTTAGAGTCACATCTCTTATGTGGTTTTTGCTTTTGTTTACAGGTCTGCAAGGGAATCTTATGGTGACGACGCCATTGGCTATGTGCAAATCAAACGGGAGCAAGGAGTTTGCACAATGAAATGCAAAATATGCCCAGAGCATAAAGTTCGGTCAAAGGCATATAATGTAACAATGATTATCAATGAAGAAGATAGTGAAGTCATTAGCTGCCAGTGCCTTGACTGTGCTGCTTCAGCTGGGGGATGCAAGCATTCAGTTGCTTTCCTGATGTGGGTCCATCGTCGCACTGAGGAACCTGCATGTACTTCAGTAGAATGCTACTGGAAAAAACCTATTCTATCGCGAGTAGGGACCACTATGAAATATATCACTGTTGAGCAGATGTGTGAGAAAGCAGTGCCTCATAGACCAAGTTCATCTGAACTATATAATGAATTCATTTCTGTGGCCAAATCTAGAAATATAACCAAATGTGAATTACTTAAATATCAAAATGATTTTAAACATAAAGATGTCATGCAGTATTCATTACACTGTTTTTTGATGAATCAATCAGAGGAAACTAGTGCTGATGTTGATAAATTTGTTGAAGTGATGAAGACAAATATCACAGAGGCTGAAATAAGTGCCATAGAAGAAGCAACGAGAAATCAAGATAAAAGCAGTTTGTGGTATGAGATGCGTTATGGCCGTATCACAGCTTCAAAAGCATATCAAGTGAGTGTTTGCCGGACACCAGAAGGGTCATTGATTGCTACTGTGATGGGTGCAAAAATACCAGATACGCTAGCAATGAAAAGAGGAAGAACTTTAGAAAAGGCAGTCCGAAAGAAAGTTGCTTCCATATTGAACAAAAAAATAAGTATATGTGGACTTTACGTATGTAATGAGAGTCCCATGATTGCAGCATCTCCTGATGGCCTAACAAAGGATGCTGTTATTGAAATAAAATGCCCTACTCAGGCTAAAACCAAAGAGAACTATATAAAAAATGGAGTAATTACAGAAAAATTTAATGCACAGGTGCAATTACAAATGCATGCAACTAGCATGAAAAAATGCTATTTCTGTGTTGCAGATAGCAAATTTGAAGAGAACCAAAAGGTGGATATTCTTTTAGTGCATTATGATAGTGCTTATACCCATAATTTACTGCAAAAGCTGGTTACTTTTTGGAAAAATAATGTTTATCCAGTTTTGTACCGTAGCACTAGGGTGACAGATTAATAAATAAAAATGTTTTCTGTGCACATTGTTTTATTTATTTTTCAATAGGTATTTACATTTATTTATAAAACTTACAAATACATACACTACACTAGAAGTCCCCATGCCTTTAGTTTTTGCTACATTCATTGCTCTCAGTGAAAAGTGTGTTATGTAACATATCTATCCCAAGATGAAAGAATTTAACTAACTTTTATTTAATTTAACTAAATATGTGTACATAATAATATATAATAATACCTATGCACTGATTGTGATTTGACTTGTTTGATTAATTGTCTTGGCAAGCACTTTGAGCTGTGGTTAGTTGTTTTGGAGCCTATTCAATGCAAACAAACAACTTTCCTTCTTAAAGATAACATTCATACATCACATCCTTATCAGAGGTAGACAGAGCCAAAAGGCCACATTTAGTAAGATATTCTTTCTTAATTTTTTCTTTACTTAGTATTTCTAGGAAGATATAATATTAATATACAAAACATTACTTAATAAGAGAGTCTTGCAAATTTATTAAAGCACATGCAATAATAATTATATGGTCAATTATACGAAGTATGTTGGTGTTTATCACTGTATGTTGTTTTAGCATGTGGAATTCTCTCAAGCGCCTTATTACTCTTTCCACATGAATTCGCAGGCTTGCAATTATTTTAGTTTGTCGGACTTCAGATTTGGATAACTTTACACCAGCACTTACACTAGGCGGCCGTAATAGTTTAATGCCTTTACTATGAAGTATTTGTTCTAGGTGTTTGAAGCCTCTGTCCGCTAAGATGCAAGTTCCAGGTTGTAATTTATCTAGAAAGTCAGTGTTTTCTACTATTACAACATCACTCGTTCTGCCCCCAAAGCCTTGAGAAACATAGTTGACTAATCCATTAGGAGTGCAGGATATTAAATACTTCACAGTATTTCCCTTCTTGTACTCTGACCATGTCAGAGCCTGGTGTAGAGCCTTAGATGGTTTTTGTATATCAATTTCAAGACAATCAATAATGCAGCTGACATTGTGATAGTTATGTCTAAATGGTATTGGAAGATTTCTCTTTGTTAAGTTACTGTTTAAATTTACAATAAATGGTCTCAAAAAGCTACTCAATATGGGTATGTTATTTAAAAATATTTTACTGGCATATGATAGTGACATTCCAAAATTATCCTCTAATTCAGAAAATGTGCTATTTAGTCTAATTTTTTTCAAGCATAGCAAAATGTGTTCTACTTTTATATTTGTGTGTTTGTGCATTAACTGAATAATAAAATAACAATGTTCAGTAATACCAACATACATTAATGGTTTTTTTTTAATTAAATGTAGGGTATTTTTGAGGCACTGCAGTTGATGAACAGTGGAATTAGTATCCGTAGTATAACTATCAGAATCTGTAATCTTTGATGATGTAGGTACAAAAGGTGAAGAATAACCACTCTTAATGCTTGAAATTTCACTATCTGATTTATCACGTTCTAAGGCAACAACTTCTTTAGCTGCTTTTACAACTCCTGACTGTAACCGTTGAAGACTGCATTGTTCATATTTAAAAGGTGAAGTGTAACTCGATGTTGTGGACACTTTGAATGGTGATGTCGAAATACTTTTATTTTTGTTTCTAGTTTGTATAGCTTTGCTCCTATAATGCACATTTGATTTCATTGACACTTGGACAGACTTTTCTACAGCAATTATAGGATCTGTACACATTCCTTTATCTGCAGTCCTTGGTAATACTGAAAATACAAACATCCAACATTTATTATACAATCTTACTGATTCAATTTGTAATGGAAAATAAAATTTAGTTGTACCATACCTTCAGGCTCAATAACGTTTTGTGGCACATAATTGTCTTCTTGAAGCATTTCGGCATGGGTTTTAGTGGCACTTAAACTTTGTAAGCATTCTGTGACGATATCATTTTTTTGTCTCTTTATGGGCAGGTCTCGAGAAGGTCCACCAGACAACCGTCTTTTGCGATCCTCTTGACAATCGAATTTTGTTGGCACAGCTTCATCTGCCAAAAGCATCTTCTGATTGAAGCCCATTTTGTACATCATGTAGTTCTTTATGGCTGTTTCCAACTGAAATTCACATTGATATCCATTAATAAATAAAGTAAACAAGTGAAGTATTCATGTTGTAAAAAGTTATTTAGACTAAGTTTGACAAGACTAATGAGTAGCTCAGGAAACAAAAATAACATTAGAAAATAGATAGGTACTATCTATTAAGTATAAAGTTAAGTGCTACTTACATTAAAGTGATCTTCACACATAAAAATATTTGTACGCATCGAGACACTGTTTGGCTCTCTTCGCGCCAACCGTAACCACAATTTACGTTTTTTGGGATTCGTAGGAACAGATAAAAATACTTTTTCCGGTGTTTTTATTGATGTATTTGTACATTGTGGCACTACACACCATTTATAAGACATAATTTCTAATAAATACTGAAATATGATTTAATAACAAGCAATACCTTTGAATATTCAAGCAAGATGGATTGTTGTACTAGCGTGTGACGTCACACGCGTCACGTGACTCGAGCCATTACAATGAAATCGTTTCTGCCGCGCTTTTTACAATTTAAATTGTAACTTCGATGTTTATCCTAAATACTGTAAATTTTGCAGTAAGATTAATTTTGTACGTATATTATATACTAAAACAACCATTTAAAACGATTTCCAAAAATTGTCAAATACCGTATTG